ATTTTAGACCAAGTAGGCAAGTATAACTATTAACCTTCATGATTTAAGAACTAAATCGTGTCATTCACTATATCATATAAATTATAACTGTGTATTTTTTATACATACCTATACTTCCCAAAAAAGCAGCTCACTACTGCTACTTTTTTAAAATGTTTTTTATGCTATTATTAAGCTTCAACGCTATGTCGCTATTGTTTAAATGTAGTAAACTACATTTTATTTATCAATTTAAGTTACTTCAAGTTCTGACATGTTTAAATTAAAGGAAAAAATATCAAATATTTAAAAAAATTCAAAAGGCCCAAAATGGTGAAAACGAAAATAAAATATTTTATTGTTCTATACACTTATAGTCTTATTTAGTTATTTATATTATGCTTTTTATACATTTAAATATATTTGTAGATAGAATTGAAGCATTTTTAGTGTTCCAAAAGGTGATGAGCGTAATTGACCGACTAAAAAAAAACACACACAATGTCATTGTAAAATCAATAGGTACATTCATCGCTGAAAAAAATGATAACATAAATATTTTCAATGTCAAATAAATTATAAAGAACGCCCCTATGGCAATTTTTCAACAGTTTTATACTGATTATTATTGTGACACGTTCGGCCACAAAACGATATTTTTTACATGGGAATTGGGAGAACGATCGGATATACACACTACACACGTTTGGGTTCAAACTTTTTCAGACGTCACCAAAAAAAAGTTTCAAACTAATATCACGTCTGAGTACCAATACGTTTGGGTAATGTCAGTAATATTCACATTCATGATTCGTCTGTTAAGTATAAAAAAATGAATCAAACAAACTGCCAAATATTTAACTAAGATACTTATTGACTGATTGGATGAATAAAGAATTCTGTACAGTCATATATTATATTGATGATGCAGGCTTAATAAAGATTGTAGTATATTCGTAGTCACGTGTACCTACCTTTCATTCTATATGTGTACAAACGGCAAACGCTGGGTCTAGCTATTTGTACCCAAACGTGCTTTTGGTCGATGTGGCCAAACGTTCAACGCCCAAAATAATACGGTAAATGGCATTTCCCATTGCCCCCCATCCCCCTATGGCAACGCCACTGAGCTACTCAATTGTATTCTCTACAAATAAATAGTAGCACGCTCCAACTGTTGTAACTCGTAGTGTCGCTACCATTAGGATACTACTCCCGACCACTGGGTATAAATAAATGGTAAATACTGAAATATAGATATATAGGCGTGTATACTAATATGTACGTCAAACTTTTCCTTTTAAAACTGATAAAAATCTGAACCCTAAAATTAATTGGGCCCTTTCCTAAAAATACCGTAAGAATATACAATTTTCTAGTAGGTAACTTAAAAAAAATAATTTCAACAATCAAAAATTATTGGGTTTTTACTCGCGTTAGAGGTGAAAATCCCTAATATAAGAGGAATAAGACATTTTTAGGCTAATAAACAAATGAAAAATTGAAACAAAACAAACAAATCCCACTTCCCACTTTTTTCCCGGGTTGGGCATGTATAACAAGTTACGTAACTCGGTTACTACTTAATTTTGTAACTTGCAACTTATAACTAGTAACATATTTTCCTGTAACTTTTTATAATAGTTACAAGTTACAATTAAAAGTTACTTTGTGCTTTGATAAATTCGACTGCAAAAGCAAAAGCAAAAGCAAAAACGTTTAATTCGTCCATTTTGGTTTTCACAATTAATCTAGGCAGTGGTTTTACAATTAATTTCTCAACATGCCAACTTACTATTTACCATGACGTACAGTTAATAATATATAAACAAGAGAAAAAATAAATATTTAGCTATATAGGTATGGAATAACTGTGCATACATACCCACGTACATTTTCCCTCATTAGTACACGTTGTTCAGTGTCCTGTGTACATTATATTCTTATTATCACTTCTTATAACTAGTAAGAAAAGTGTTTTTCTCAAGTATACATTAAAAAGCAGAGAAAAAATTGTTATTATATACTCGTCAATTTAATCGTCGACGTACTTGAAGTATTCACAGAATGTACGATGTGTCGATGTGTTATGTGTATATGTCGTAGGCCGTATGGAAAATTAGATTTTTTGCAAAAAGACTAGGCTCTTTGCAATGGGGTAGCCCGTTTGCGAATTACTTATTATTTTTCCAAACAGCCTGCTGTTTTTAAGGCTCATTGCATACAGACTAACAGCAGTTAGGCCTTTTAAGAATTACAATCATAATAACAATAAATATTATATGGTAATTTATTACTGATTATACTTATTACATAATTTAAATTATATTATTTTAAGGGTTATTGATAATAACCCAGTACATTATAATATGTAACATGTAAATTGAATAATTATATACGGTACCTAGGTATTTTGTATATCTAATGGTCCACGATCTACTTTTTTAATATTGACTAAAGTCTAAAACATAACTTCCTAGTTCCTACTCATAAACTGTATCGCAATAGCGTATTTATAAAATCATATCAATCGTATAGATTTCAAATTTTTGGTTTTTACCTACATTAGTATACTACATTACAACCGACTATTTTAAAGATACGGATTGACGACGTATACCTAATAGTTGATGGAATCTACAAGATAATGACTAATCAGTAGATTAGATTATACATTTCATTGTACCTATTTTTGTCAACATACTGTAGTAGGTAGGTACATACTACAGTACCAACTATACGTTAGTAAACCCAGTGTATTTCATCGAGTGCGTTAATACTTACGAGTGCATAATATGGAAAATGTAACAGTAGTGAACAAATTTAACAATGAAGTTACTAATTATTATAAAAATAAAACGAACGCAGTTAAACAACCATGGACAATAGCTACAATATCCGATGCTGTTTCTGAAATAGCAGCTTCTAAAATACCAGGAACCAAAAAAAATAGTAAGCAATATAGATTGATTAAAAAATATGATATTATGGAAGTAGGTGATTCAAAATATTTGGTAAAAAAAAGAAAAAATCATGATGAGCCAATTGTTCAATTAGTAGCACGTGAGAATTTTTTTGAAATTTTAAATACGATTCACAAAAATATTGGACACGGAGGTCGTGATAAAATGATGTATGCTCTAAAAGATAAATATTATATTCCAAAACCTATTGTTTTGATATTTTGTAAGTTGTGCAATGTTTGTAATTTAAAAAAATCTCAGCAGCACAAAAACATTGTTGTAAAACCTATATTATCCAAAGATTTTAATGTTCGTGGGCAAGTTGATTTGATTGATTTTCAATCGACACCAAGTGGTAGTTTTAAATGGCTTTTAAACTACCAAGACCACGCTACAAAATATTGTCATTTACGTCCATTACAATCAAAGAGAGCTTCAGAAGTAGCATTAGAGCTTCTTAAGATATTTTTACAATTTGGAGCTCCTTATATATTACAGAGCGATAATGGTCGAGAATTTACCGCAACTGTAGTAGAGGAAATGACAAACCTGTGGCCTGAGTGTAAAATTATTCATGGAAGGCCTCGATACCCGCAATCTCAAGGGAGTGTAGAGCGTTGTAATCAAGACGTAGAAAACATGTTGAGGGCATGGATGATAGACAATCAAAGCACTGATTGGGGAATGGGGTGTTATTTTGTACAATGGCAAAAAAATTGCTCAAAACATCGAATAATTAACAGAAGCCCTTATAAAGCATTATTTGGAAGTGAACCAAAAATAGGACTTTCTAGCAAAAATTTACCTAATGATATCTTACAGTCGATTACAACAGAAGAAGATTTAAATGAGTTAGTTAATACTGAAGTAAGTGATGAAGTAGATAGTGACGAAGAAGCAGAAGATAGTGAAAAAGATAACGAACAAATTAATGAAAAGGATAATAATATATACGACTGTAAAAATTGCAATTCTAAAGTGTCTATCATAAACAAAGAATCTTTGTGCGACACATGTGTAAAAGAAAAAAAAATTCAGAAAGAAAGAGTAGAAGCTTTTGAAGGACAAAAAAAAGCTGCAAAAAAAATTATACAAGCTAGTGATAAGAAATTAGTTGTAATTGAAGTTGGAAATTATGTTTTAGTTAATATTCCAAAGGTAGATCGTGGACCATTAGACACACAAAATATAATTGGTAAAGTTGTCAACAAAAAAAATAACGTTTACCAAATTGGTACAAGATTTGGAATTATAAATACGTGGTTAAGCAGAAATGTTCTACAGACAACCGATGCAGAATTTCTTGACGAAGTACCAGATACGATGTTAACATTATATAATATTATATTTTTTTTTGTTAGTAATATAATATAGGTAATAAAACTAGTAATTCAATAGTCAATAACTGTACAAGTAATAAATTAAGAAGTGTGTTATTATCAATAACCCTTAAAATAATATAATTTAAATTATGTAATAAGTATAATCAGTAATAAATTACCATATAATATTTATTGTTATTATGATTGTAATTCTTAAAAGGCCTAACTGCTGTTAGTCTGTATGCAATGAGCCTTAAAAACAGCAGGCTGTTTGGAAAAATAATAAGTAATTCGCAAACGGGCTACCCCATTGCAAAGAGCCTAGTCTTTTTGCAAAAAATCTAATTTTCCATACGGCCTACGACATATATACAACTACAGTCGAGTGTTTCAAACGACGGTCAAAAACGAAAACAATAATATAGCCTGTATGACATAGGTATAATATAATATATTATATCTATACAAACATCGGGTTAGGTGTGTCTTTATAATTATGTTTCGCTGCTTACACTGCACAACCATTACAAATTTACAATACTGACCGTAACGTCGATGGGGTAATCACTAGTTATATAATAGGTAAACCAAATCGTTTTATATTGGTAATATATTATTATTTAGGTTTCGGGGCTGCAGCAGACGCTTCTAAGTATGTTATAGTTGCAGTAAATATAATATATTATTATAATATACTAAAATATATTATAATATAGGTTTTATAGGTACCTACGCGATGTGGCTGATCCGGGCGTTTTGGAGACTGTGCGGAGTGTTCACCATGGATCTGTCGTACAACAAGTTTCAAAACGAGTACTCCGCACTGCTGATAGCCACGTGCATATTATACAATTTCGTGAACGCGTCGCAGGTCATATGCAAATTGGATCACTGGTGCTCCACATTTTCGTCGACGCTGACGGCCGTGTACGACAGGGTGTTGACGTCCGCCGTGTTCTTCTCCCGGATCGCGGTCGTGTACGGATGTAAGCCGAACATGTCCAGGTACCAAGCGACCATCAGAGCGTTCGAGGCGTACTGGCCACCGTCGGCCACGGAACTCCGGCGGCACAGGGCGTTTTCGCTGGCCGTGGTCACCACGTGTCTGGCCGTCATCTTGCCGACCAACACGATCTGCATGTACTACTTGTGCCGCTACGAGCCCAACTCGGATGCGTCGCTGTTCGCCTACCAGCTGTTCATGTACGTCCAGAACCTGAGCATGTGCTGCATCGAGACGCAGTTTGTCGTGCAGTGTTTCAAGGTCTACACCAAGTTTCACGGCATCAACGACGATCTGAAGAGGCTGAAGGACGAAAACCTCAACCGCTCCGAGTACCCGTTTATGTCGTCCGCGGGCTCGTCGTCGCCGTCGCCGTCGCGGTCTGCCGTCGTGTACGACAAAGACTTTTATCGTCCACGGTTCATGAGCCACCCGACGGCCAACACGGTCGAGTTGCTCAGAATCAAACACTAGCTGATCCGATTGTCGATTGATGCGCTCAACAACCTGTTCGGCGTGCACATGGGACTGTCGGTGTGCTATCTGTGGCTCATGGCCTTGTTCGATATTTATTACGAAATGTTCTACAACTCTCGGTGGGACTGCTGGTCTACTGTTGGCTGCTACAATACATGCTGAGGCTGTTATTGATCATATTGATGGCGCACTTCACGACGAAACAGGTACATACTGCTAATATAATCTCTCTATCTTTCTCTTTTTCGATATATTATATTATGTACAACACTTGTAACTTGTAACATGTAATATATGTTTACGATATAGGTAGATGTAGGTATTACCTTATATAATATCTTAAAACTTAATTCCTTTATACAATTATTATGTGCAGGCACTCGAAGCGAAGTCACTTATCACGGATACCAATAACGGAAGTATGGATAGTAGTACCAAAGAAGAGGTACCTAATACTATAGTTACCTATATCTATATGCTATACTTACTAATAAGCAACACATGTGGGTGCAAAGCAAGGTTTATAGATTATAATAAAATTATAGTATAATCTATTTAATGAACCTTGGGTGCAGTGTCCTCTCAAATCTAATAATAAAGAAGGAAATAAAAATAAATTATTTATTCCACAATTTTTTTTTTGTATCATTTGTATACTATTACCTATATATACATACAGGCATACATCTCAGGGACACTCACAGATAAATTGCTCACTAGGTGCAATATACTATATACTTGTATATTTTATTATTTATTTGATGTAAGTCCAAATTATTAAAACAATTTTCTCAGGTGGTGCCCCCTCTCCGAACGTCCCTGAAACAGCTGGGGTTTCATAGGTTTTGTCAGGCGTCAATGCGTCATTAACTTTTCTTTAAATTAATATTTGAAAATTATGGTTTTGAAAAGCGATTGAAATATTTGTTATACAATTAATAAAATTTCTAGTATTTTTTGGTTTACCTGAATTAGAAATAAAAAATAAAAATCAGAACCTAAGATGATTATTTTTGCACTGGCTGAAATACAGATAAACAACCTGTTAACATATTATTATAACTGTATTATTAAGATTTAAGGTATATTATATTATACATTGTTGTTATTTAAATTTTTTATTTCAGTTACAGTTATTCATAAATCAAATATATAGTTCCACAATAGAATTTAATGCGTACGATTTCTTCACGTTGAATACACAAGTTATAAAATCTGTAAGTGACTTGTCAAAAAAACTGCAATATATTTCTTCAATTTAAATTATAATCAACAAGTAATTTAGTAATTATATTATAGTAATTGTTTTGTACGTAAATACTCTAAATATAAATACTAAAAATGAATACTTCATTACTGCATTATAATATATATGGTATATACTAATTATATAACATTTACTGTTTTATAGAACATTTAATTATTTGTTATGTAGGCTATTGCTGCTGGTGCTACATGTCTTGTTATTTTGGTCCAATTTCACTCTGAGAGAAATTGAATTCATTTCCAATCAAGATATCTACATATTATTTAATAAACACAAAATTCACGTTACAGCAAAATATACGTAACTACCTACTATTATATTTAAATTTAATCATGCAGAATCTTTTGTTTTCGTTCCCAGTGGCGTATTTTCAATTTTTTTCTGGGGGTGGTCCAATAATTCCAACATAATATAGATATAGGTACTGATTTATAGAAATAGTTTTTAATAGATTATAAGAATAAAAAATAGTTGTTTTATTATATTTTATAATTTTCAAGTACAAAATCCAAGTGTCTTTTTTTTTACAAAGTTTTATTTTTTTATTTGAAGACATATTTATTCCAATTCCAATTTCCAAACAATAAATGGATACAAATAAATTATAAATTATACAACTATAAAAAAAATAAATTTGATAGCATTTATTAAATAATTATGAAATGTTAGGTTTTGGCAAATCTGTATTTACACCTATCACAAATGAGAGACAATAATTATTCTCAGTACACGTTGACAATTAATATTATTTCGATAGCCGTTTAATAATATTATGTTGTCAACTTCGTGTTAACACGTAAAAATAATGAAAGGTTTAAATTGTAGAAATAATATGACTTTATGACGACAGTCGTCCATATCACTCTGCTAACCTCTGCACAGAAAATAAATACTAAGTAGGTAAACATGGTTCTAAATGAATACTAATTGTCGGCCAGTAGACTCCAAAAATTACATTAATGCAGTGCCGTAAAAACCGGGTGTGCAAAGTGTGCACCGCACACAGGCCTCGGGCCTCATATATATATCGAAGGGCCTCAAAAGATCTAAAGACTAATATTAAACTAATATAAAATTATTAAAATATATAAATTATTTATTATTGATTTGGAAACGAAACCAATGTTATTTCATTTTTTTTTTTATATTGCCTGGAGTCGTGATCACTGTTTTTAGATTTTGAGAGGAACGAACAAATGTACTGATTTTACAAGATGTGTATAATTTTTTTCATTTCTGTTGGTCATCAACATTGGGTAGTAAAAATATTTCGAATTTCGAGATCAGCATTTTTTCTGTTAGAAAAGTGAATCTAGTTGGTACTTTTTTAGATCGAAACCGAAATTTTTAGTTTTAAATATTATAGTGTCAAAAAAAAAAAAATTGTCATTTTTACCTAAAACAAAAATGTTATTTTTTGGTATAACTCGAAAACGAACAACCGTAGTCCGTAGACCATTGAAGTTTTCACCAAATATTTATATTAATATTTTCAATAAATTACATTTTGGAAATTTTTACTTTTTTGAGTTATTTATAGCCTTGAGAAATTATTTTAAAATTATAGATTATTTTAAATTTAAATTTAAATTTTTTTTTGTTTAAGCCCGAATTTTTGCCTGCTGACTTTAAAAATTGCAAAAAAAGTTTTTGAGGTGTGTATTGAAAAAGATAATAAGGGGCCTCAATATTTTGGTTTTGCACACAGACCTCAAGTAGCCTAGTTACAGCACTGCATTAATGTTTTATGTTATTATAAAAAATAATAAATTCTTTACTGCTCACATCGGATCAATGAGCTATTATTATTATTTACTACATAATTTACTAGGTGTATATTTAATTTGTACTTACATAAGTAATAGATCTAATATATTTTATTGAAGAAATAATATTCAAATACATGCTGCACTCGTAGCCGACTCCGTCGTTCGGTAACAAAATACAAACATGAAGTAATATTAGTAAATGATTCTACGACAATTGCCGTGTTTACAAAGCAAAAATTCAAATAGATAAATAATAGCTACCAGCTATACTGTCCTATAGAAATAGTTTATTGGAGAATGATGTGCGTCGTCAATTTCTTGCGATAAGAATGTTTTGACTTTTTTGAGAATTATTGATGTTTATCTAATATGGGTATTTTATAAAGTGTAATACTACAATACAAGGATAAGTTTAGTTACACGGGTTTTTGAACGTTCGGTCGTTGGCTAATTTTAAACTAATATTTCATATAAATATTTTGTTCACGGGAAAAAACCTTGTCTGCGTGGGCTTACATAAATATCGGGGTTTGCAAATATCTAATACATTTTTTTTTTTTGGAGAGATTCTGGGGGGGGTCCAGTACCCCTGGACCACCCCCGTAAATACGCCACTGTTCGTTCCTATGTCTTATGACTTATTTCCTTATCCGAAGAGTACTGAGATATCTTCAGAAAGATAAGTAAGATCGTCACCATTAACATTAAGAGATACCTAAGCTTAACGTAAAATAATATCGAATACTTAATGTATTACGAAGTTACTTTTTTTCAACATCATTTAATTTACTAAAATGCACTTACTTTTCTGGGGAGGAATTTCTTGAGTTACATAAACCAAAATATGATTTTTACTCATAAGTCATAACAATGTATTTAAATGATGTCATTTTCTAATAATCGATCGTTAAGTTTTCTAACTCTTTAATTATTAATTTACCTTTAATTAATATATAAGGATGCAGAAATGTTGTGTATAATAATAAATAATAATATATCCTATTATTTTTTTTTTCTTATCCTCTTAATATTATTAATTTATTTTCGATGTTAGACTTGTATTAGAACAACCTAGTATTATAAACTTAAAAATTATTATTATAAACTTAAAAATAAGAACTACACATCCAAGGCTACACAACACAAGCACTAGCTTAAAGAAAGTATACAAGAAACAAGTATAACATTAATTAAATATTTGTAATTTATATTGCAATAAATAAATAAATAAATAAATATACAAAATATATTAATTATTTAGTGTTTTTACATCTAAGCAGCCGCTTAACCCGTGGTAATAATAATTAATAATTAAGTCCTAATAAGGCATTAAGGCGTAATAAGTAGTAATAAGTAAAGGTGGCATGATATAATAGATAGGTCATGAAATCTGGATTTAGTTCAAGGTGGTGAATGGCCATGCGTACTTATACAATTTATTGGTATCGGGACATTTTGATCCGCTGGGGATAAATTGATCCTTTGGGGGATATTTTGATCCGTTTTCTTGAAAAATAAATTGTTCTAAGGGGATCAAATTGTCCCCACCGGATCAAATTGTCCTCCGGGGACAATTTGATCCTTTTTTCCTTGGAGACATTTTGATCCGTTTTATCAAATAATGTAATTTTAAGAGCGGATCAAGTTGTCCCCGCCGGATCAAAATAACCTCCGGGGACTTTTTAATCCACGTTTTTTTCAAAGGGACATTTTGATCCGTTCGGTAAAAAAATGAAATTATGATTTTTTTTTTTATATTTTATCATCTATCATAATATTTACTACTTATTTATGTATATCTTTATAGATTTCTTTTTTTTCGTTGAATTATTATTATAAATTATAAATATATATATAAATAAATTATTATTATTATAAATTATAAATATATAATTAAATTATTATAGTACTATTATTAAATATATAAACAGTAAGATCCAACTAGGTATACGTATATTTGGCGTTTGTGTATGTCTATAATATAGGTATATTGCCCATTACAGGCGCATAGCCAGGGGGATGTTGCAGGTTGCAGGTGTAGTGACACCCCCTCACTGGCGTCACTTGTTCCTGTTATACATAATATAAAGTTATGAAGGTAATGATTCATCATACACAGCGATGTACCTACACACATTAATTATCATTACGAAATATTTATATACATACAACCTATACATGATATGGTACCTACCTATTATATATTATTATTATGTATAATATAGTATATGAGTGTACGTAAGAATGTTATCAGACATCAATTAACATAGGTTGTAATAAGTTCTGTGCATAGCAAACTAGACGATTCTAGACTTCGTGGCTTTAACTGCCTAAAACTTATAAGTTATAAGTTTATAAATTATAATGGGAAATAACATTGGTTCTGTTATATCTAGGGCTTGGAAGTAGTAGACGTTGCATACTATTCTATATGTTCTCGATGTATAGCAGACCAAGCTAGAAATCTGAGCTATAGCTATACCTACAATGGTCACCATTGAATGGTGAGTTTAAAAAGTGGGTAAGTAGATATCGATCTGCTGTACAGTAGGTTACAAGTGGGTCACTGTAATAGATGGTGTTAAATTTGAATTCTATGTTCGAAGCATTATTTCGACTACTTATCGTGTACACAGACCCAAAAAAAAAAAAAAAAATCAATAAAAAAATAATAAAACACACATCATTGTAAAATCAATTCATTCATCGTTCCACTCAGAATCTAAAATATCTTAGAGGTTTTAAGAAATTTTCTTCAAATTATCACATTTTATTATTTTATATAGTGATATTATTGGTATAGGTTCAGTTTCTATTTTATAATAGATCAATAGCCAATAGGTTACCTAAATCACATTTTTTTAAATTTAAATCCCGGAAGTCGAGTTTTTGGAAAGTAGGTACCACAAAGAAGACTTATAATAATTCACATTGTAATTTAATAGAATGTCTATACATTTGCGGACCAGTTTCGTATAGTTACATTTGGCATGCGAACTATGAATGAAATAGAAAATCAGAATAAGTACATTGCTGATCACAAAAATTTCTGTAAAAATACGTACGATTTACCAAAGACCGTTTAGGTAATTAGTATAGTATATAAGTTCTATGGATTTATCATAGTAAATAATATATTTTATAATAATATCTATGGCAATCGTCAATTGTCGACATTCGTTGGCGACGATTAACAATTCTAATAATTTCAGTGAAAAAAAAATAATAAGCGATCAATATATACGGACAGTTTGTTATGAGCAAGATGATGATGGATGGAAGATAGCCGTTTTTTCGGCGACGGCGGCACTCTAGCTAGATTTCACCGGAAGAGTCGATGTTTACGCGTAAGTTTGTTTTCATATTATTGCTATTTTAGTATTTTACATTTACTTTAAGACTTAAATTAAATATTTATTGCCCCGGACAATCTGTTAACTGGGTGACGTAGAAGCATATTTT